TTAACAAGTCAGGAAACGACAGATGTTGGCGGGGATGCGGAGAAAGGGGAACCCTCCTACACTGTTGGTGGGAATGCAAGCTGGTGAAGCCACTCTGGAAAACAGTATGGAGGTTCCTCAAAAAGTTGAAAATAGAGCTGCCCTGTGACCCAGCAATTGCACTACTGGGTATTTACCCCAAAGATACAAATGTAGGGATCTGAAGGGGTATGTGTACCCCGATGTTTATAGCAGCAATGTCCAAAATAGCCAGACTATGGAAAGAGCCCAGATGTCCATCGACAGATGAATGGATAAAGAAGATGTGATATATATACACAATGGAATATTATGCAGCCATCAAAAGGAATGAAATCTTGCCATTTGCAATGACGTGGGTGGAATTGGAGGGTATTATGCTGAGCGAAATAAGTCAATCAGAGAAAGACATGTATCATATCACCTCACTGATATGAGGAATTCTTAATCTCAGGAAACAAACTGAGGGTTGCTGGAGTGGTGGCGGGGTGGGAGGTATGGGGTGGCTGGGTGATAGACACTGGGGAGGGTATGTGCTATCGTGAGTGCTGTGAATTGTGTAAGACTCTTGAATCACGGACCTGTACCTCTGAGACAAAGAATACATTATATGTTAAAAAAAAGAAGATAGCAGGAAGGGAAGAATGAAGGTGGGGAAATCGGTGGGGGAGATGAACCATGAGAGACTATGGACTCTGAGAAACAAACTGAGGATTCTAGAGGGGAGGGTGGTGGGGGGATGGGTTAGCCTGGTGATGGGTATTAAAGAGGGCCCGTACTGCATGGAGCACTGGGTGTTATACTCAAACAATGAATCATGGAACACTACATCCAAAACTAATGATTTAATGTATTGTGATTAACATATAATAATAATAAAAAAAAAGATGTCCTTTTTATGTTAACCAAAATACAACTTCCCAGATTCTAACAATTATTTGTTCTAACAATATAATCTAAAGATTATAATTTTACTTTATCAATAGTTAAATGATAGCCTATCTGATAGAAGTTAATATGATTAATCTGAAGAGTACAATAATATACCAATTCTGGGATTCATAGATTAAAAACCTCTCCTGGGCTTGGGAGAAATTACTCCTTGTACAAAGGCTCTAGGCCAGTGGTTACTTCTTAACCTTTTTGGAGATACAGACTTCTTTGAGTGTTTCATGAAAATTATGGATATTCTTTTCCCCCAAAATTCGTGTGTGTACACAAACACCTTTTGTATAAGTTTTAGGAAGTTTATAGACTCCCCCTGAAATTCATTTTGGATGTAGGGTAAGAACTCCTTCTAGACCTTATCCTAAGGGATAACTTAGAAAAAGAAAACTAATATGAAGTAACTATTACATGCTACATAGCTACTGTATGTTACATACTGATCAATCTTAGTGATTTTCATATATGGTATCTCATTTAAATAACAAATATGATGAAGACACTGAATAATTTATTCATAATCACATTAGCTACTATACAGTAGTAACAGTCATTATTGATCAGACTAACCCCATGTAATAGGCCATATATCTATAAGGCCAAATGAACAGATCATATTATTCATTTCAATAAATAAGGAAAATTTTATAGAGAAAAGAATTAGTCAAATCAATTGCCTGGTATTCTGGATAGAATACCGGTGGCTGACTTACTGAACTTTTAAACTCTGTTTGCATTCTACAGGCATAGTTAACCTAGGAGCTCCCCAAATGTATTGCCTTTTTCTTTCCATCAGCAATTTCAAAACAATATTAAATGTGAATGAATTAATCAAAAATCTAGTTTACAGTGTGTACATGCACCATTGCCAAATTAGAACAATTCAGAGATCATCAGACCTGTAGCACCATGGTCATGAGGATTGATGTTTTAATGAAAGAAAAGTACATTTCTGGATACTTTTCATTGGGCTTCTTTAGTGTAATAAGGAAAATTATTGGCATGCAATTCATCATGAAGTACATGCTTTTCTATAGAAATGATTCTTCCTATAATATTCATTCAATTCCATCTAAGCAGGGATATTTTAATTTTCTGCCTTTCAGTAATGTGTAGAAAAAGGAAACCATATGTGCATATAGAGAAATCTGTAGTGGAATTTAAGAATTACATCTTCATAAAGTGTTATCTAAATGTTGGCTTTGAATTGAGGTAGCTCTACGTACTTAAAGGGCGTAGTTGAAGCAATATGAGAAAGGTAAAAAAAAGCCAAGAACTTGGAATCAGAAGTCAGTTTTATATTTCAGTTCTGCCATGTACTACTCAAGTATCCTTAGATGAAAACTTTCCTCTCTGAGCTTTTGTTTTCTCATCTGTAAATTGATTAAGAATGATAATAACTCTGGCTGCACTTAACTTTCAGTTTTGTGAGGACCAAAGCAAATTAGAGAGTCTATATAAAAGTACTTTAAAATTTTATTATGGAAATTTTCATACATAGAATAGAATAATATAGCATAGAATAGTATAGAATAGTATACTATATTCTATACTAAAAATAGAAATAGTATAATGAAAAGTAGAATAATGTAATGAATCCTAATATACTTTCCATCCAAATTCAACTGTTATCAAGGTTTTGCAATCTTTACAAACCCCAGGCATGATACCATTCCACCTTAAACTTAAGTGTACACCTCTAAAAAATTTGAACATTTTCTTACATAATCTTTATACCATTATGACACCTAGCAAAATTAACAATAATCCTTTGGCCATCAATCAAGTACCCTGTTCTTAATCAAATTTTCTAGGTTCTTCTAAAAAATTTTTCTTATGGTTAGTTGATGTGAATCAGGATTCAAGCAAGGTCCTTATATGACATTTGGTTGTAAACTCTAGAATTGTCCTATAGAATGCCTCTTATTTGGATCTGTCTGTTTACTTCCTATGGCATTTTTAGATTTGTTTCTCTAGCCCCCATAATTCCTGTAAAAGGAATTTAACACTAGAATTGTGATTAGATTTATGATCAACATTTTTTGACAAGAATCTTCATGGGTTTATGGTATATTTCATATTGATCATTTATGCAGGAATACAATGTCTGGACTTTCCATTTTAGTGATAATGGGTATCAGTGGGCATGATTAGAACCTAAGCTCACACTGAACAAATCTCCCAATGACCTTTTCATCTAGTTTCACTTTTTGGTGATCTTTGCCTAAATCAATTATTTCATTAGGAGTTTCAAAAGGGTCAATTTTGTCTAATTCTATCATTTCCCCCAACATTTATTAGCTGAACTTTTATTGTAAGGAAGAATTTCAACAAGGTTCATCCTCTTCAACTGGGTATTGACTACCCAAAAATGTGGTTTGTAAGGGATGGTAGGATAAATGTTAATTCTTTCTATCCACTCACTTATCTATTGTGGTATAATAAACCACCTGAAAACTTAGTGGCTTAGACCAAGAACCACTTTTTTTACTCTGTGGGCCAAAAGTCTGAGTGGGCTCAGTGAGGCCGCTCTGCTGTTCTTGCCCAGGGTCAGTAATGTGACCCTATGTGTGGTCATGTGGTGGTATGTCAGTAGTTTGGTGGTTCTGTGGGGACTGGATGGTAAAGATGGTCTCCCTTACATGTTTGGAGATTGCCGGCCCTTAGCTGGGGGCCTTGGTTCTCCTCAAGGCTTCTTAAACAGGCTAGCTCAAGTTTGTTCACATTGTGGTCTCAGGGTTCCCATTGCAGCCAAAAGAACAACCTCCAACGTGCAAGCATGTCTTACACATCTGCTTGTGTCACGTTTACTAAGGCTGCATTGGCCAAAGCAAGTCACATGGCCTTGCTCAGATTCAAGGGAAGGACAAAAGGAGAAAGATTTCTTGTTTGGAGGAGCAGTGAAGTCACATTTCAGAAGGACATGCAAACCAGGATGGGGCGGTTTTCTTGTGGCCATCTCTGCAAATAATCGGCCACACTTTCTAATGGCCAGTTTTCCAAGTTATAAATTGGTGCCAGTTTACTTACAAGTATTGTTAACATTATTATGAGCTCATGGGATTTTGTATTTTTAAGCCTATCTAAAGTGTTTTGGTTATTTTTCTTTTTGTTGTTCCCAAATTGTCCCACTTTGGGCCAGTGGAGGCTCCTTCATGTTGTTGGTTCTTGTGTCTTTTTAAAATGATTCTTTGACTCTTGGATGGCTTCTTTTCTTTCCAGGCCCCACAAGACATCACTTGCTCACCTTACATATTTCTTGCCCCAAATCTGGAACTGGCCATTCCTCCAGGAAACCCCGATCCTTGACATAAGTTATACTCATTGATGTTGAATTGTCATTGCCTCTAGCCTTTTTCAGTCCACAGAATTTGGAAATATGTTTTTTTTAAATATAATTATTAGGGAGCAAAATGATGCATTCATGTTGAGATTTCAAATTTAGCATTTGGGGATTATAATAGTGCTCTATTTGTATTGTACAGTACTCTACAAAAATGCTATCATCGTTTAGATATGCCTACATAAAACCATCTTTGTTCCTTTTTTTTTAGGGATACTATTATCTCTCAACCACTGGAAAGAAAAAAACAACGCTCTGCTTAGCATGTGGACAAACGAGGAGAGCAGAGAAGGGGCTCAAACAGTTGCGTCCAGGACTGCCATTCCTCTGTGCCTCGGGTTGTAAGACCCGGATGCCATTCTCACGAGGGCCTTTCAAGGTCATCAGTGTGGCAGAGGTGTGTAACGACCTGAGCTCTGCTAATACGTGTGTGGCATCACTTTGGAAACTTTGATGTATTCATTATCTGCCTTGCCCTCAAGTTCATCTTCAGTCATCCAATTCATCTTCCTCTGATGCCCCTTTACTACTCCACCTGCATTGATTTCCTCTTCCCCTTGTAATTTAAAATACATTGTCTATTAATAGTTCGATACACTCTTTGAAGTTAATTGGGCACTTCTGCGGCTTTAATCATCTACTAACACCTTCCACTGCTCTCTGTGTTGCTTTTAGATGAGGAAGTAACTGCAAATCTTTACTTAGTGGAGCAGACTTTTGCCTATATTCACAGGGCAAACTTCCTTTTACTAGTATGCAACATTTCAGGGGGAATTTGACGTGTTGTTCATGATGAATTCATGCATCCTCTAATACTATGTATAGCTCATGGAGAAAAAAAATCTCTGCCACTTTTCTGTTACCTTAATTTAAAATGGCACCATTTAAAAAAGTCCTCTCAAGTTTAGAGTAGGATGTGCTAAGGGGAACTTACACACCTATAAATGACATATCAGATAAAGGGCTAGTATCCAAAATCTATAAAGAACTTATCAAACTCAACACCCAAAGA